TCCACCTAACTTTCTGGCACCAAGAATTCTACTCCCGGTTAGTGCTAAATAATGTTTATATCTGTCGACATTAGTGGTACACACCATATGATAGAAAGCTCTTAATTTTGGTACAGTTAATTATTATGTTAGCACAGATGTGTAGTGATAAATATCCAAAATCAATAGCTATGATGACCACATTAGTTTTAATGAACTCGCCTAGCTGGGAGCACTTGGTCACGCATCCGCACCAGATCACGATTGGGTACACCTTGCTTCACATCTCCTACGACCGCTAGCCAGCTTAGATTGATCACTACTTGATTTATCGATAGCCTATCAAATATACCTTCAGACCTCTTTGCTTCCGACTTTTGGTTTCACGTTATCAAATTCCAATTACTTGTGGCATCTTTATATAGATAGACCAATGCCTTAATCCAACTAGGCCTTTTAGGAGTCCAAAGGAACCCATTTCGTCTTGTATGAACTTCCATATATCCGCGTAACTTGCGCGCATAGGCGCTTCAGAGCTCATTTTATCTAGGTTATGGATAGAGATCAAAATCGAGAGTGGACCTACGACGACCTTCTGTGGACTACAATTCCTGAGGCGCAAAAAGCCGGTACGCATTCAACGTCCTGTGTACTAGATAGCTACAGAGCCAAGACAGAAATGAATCAGTTAAACGTAAACTCGTCACGTTTTAAATGAATACTATATGCAACACCCTGTCAAACACTTTTACCAATTTAAGGAAAATTACATGGACCGGTGCTCTCTGACTCCAATATGCTCTACATTTGTCGTATGTTGTGAGAAGACTGAATGCTCACGTCCCGTCTTTTCTCAACCCATGTTTTGGCTCATGGAGGATCTCCTCTTTGTTTACGTATCCCCTCATTTGTTTGATGACCGGCCATTCCATAAAGATCCATCCCTTATTATAATGTTCTTTGCGTCCCGACATCTCTCTTCACTCTGAAGTAAGTCCTTCTCTTATTCACTTCCAGTTATCCTCCACAGCATTGTATCCGAATAAAGAATAAATGAACGGTAACTGTGAAGAATTATTTATGGAATAATATTACATATAATACTATTGGACCACTGTTAAGTAACTATGTTACATGTATGTTCATATTCCTTTCATTATAAGCTTTCGGTTGACCTACTGACTATTTATATACAATTTACTATTCACAAGTTATTCCCTATGTATTGATTACAGTCTCACAATCACATCCACTTTCAGCCTAATCTTTTATAATTATTATCTTTTATTTTATGGCGTGGTGTGATCCTGTTTGCCTGTATATAAGCCACGTTCGTCTGAAATTTACGATTTATACAGTGGAAGCTGAGATTGTGTTCTGGACATAACTAGCAGGTCAAGGCAAGAAGAGGCAAAAGGAACTCAGAGTTGACTCTAGGCTGCTGGTATTAGTTAACGTGTCATTGATTAAGAACAGTGCTGAGGTCATGTACGTCGATGTTTTAATTGGCGATTTGGTCATGCTATAGTCAACAAGACATAAGAGCATAACACACAGTAGTTTCTTCTTCACTGAGATGTTGTGGGGCTTGAAACTTGCGGTTGAAACCTATCTTAAATTCTTTAAGTTTGTCAGTATCTCGAATGAATGCGGTAATAAACCATTGTGATGTTATATCTCCGTTGATTTGATCCTTTGCCAGCTAATGTTTCAGTTTGTGAACTACCAGGCGGTGATCTGAAACTATGTCAGCACCTCTCCTGGTTCCCAGTTCTTCAATTATCCTTCTGAAGTTTTTACTAATGCCTATATAACCTTTCTGGTTCTCTGTAGTGTGATCCGGCCAGACCCATGTAGCTTTGTGTATGTGTTTGTGTGAAAATATTGTGCCACATATAACCAATATATTGAGGCACATAAACTTGCAAATCTGACACCATAATGATTGCTCTCTCCCAGTTCATTTCGTTACATGATGCCTTGATAATCGTTGCTGTCCATTCTTACTTTGGTGTTTAGACCATCTATCAGGATGGTCATATTTTTCATTGGGACTTCTCTATGATTGACTGCAACCTTCCTTTGAATTTATCGTCTTCCTCGTTGTCATTAGTGGGTGCATAACAGAGGATAACATTCATTGTGATTCCTTCCTTCTTTGTTTCGATGAATGCTCTGAGTCTGTAGAATTATGGTCTACTATGATATTAGTACTGCTCTAATAATAGACCTAATCCTGAAATTGTAGATTTGTCATGATATAACTGCCTAATCTATAAGATCTTACGTGGAAGTCACACCATCGGCTACATCAATTCACTGTATCGTATCAATTACCAGTACATTATGTAGAACAAGGTTAGGCTAGAGAAGGAACAATATATTTAATATGAATAGAAGATATAAGGTAACATTCAGCAGAGACCACGCCTGCATGGCCGACCCATGCCACTCGATCAACTCCAGTCCATTCAATTCCTTCTCCGCGCTTTCTCCATTGTTAGGTATTTCCCCGAGTTAAATATTGAATATCTATTTTCTGAGTAGTCTCGTGTTCACAGCTTTGTGGATTGTGTGGCTATTGTCCAATGCCACTACAAGTCTGCTCTACATTTCCTACTTCGTGACTACAGTGCAACAGCATCTCTCCCGAACCTAACATTTTGTTCAGATTAGGTTCAATGTGTTTCACCGAGTCCGAGAACCGTCAAGTTTTATCTCCTGACTTCCGTAGCTATTTGATTAGTCCTCACGGCGTCCCACATTTCCCGGACGTTTCATGTAGGCATAGTTATTATTGCTCTGGTTTTTAGAAGAGGCATTGTCATCATGACTTCCGAAGAATCTCGGCTTCCACCACGAGGTGTCATATCTCTTCTGAGTGAAGATCATTGAATTCGGAGGATCGATTTTAAATGATTTAAATTATATATTCTGAATAACGTCTTTCCATCAAGGTTGTTTTCTATGGGTTTTGGTTGCTGGCTTCATGCTCAGCCTTCCTCCTTTACCCGAGCTGGGGGCCGGTAGTAACCCTAGAAGAGCTACCGTCAGAAAAACATGTGTTTGAAATTCATTCTCGCAATTGGCTTATTTCGTTATTGTCTAACATGACTTAGGCAGATAATTATGTATGTGAGTAGCCGTAGTGCATATTCCGACAACAATCATCATACGATCTAACTGGATTTAAATACAGGACAATTCAATACTGTCTAAATTTATGTTGGCAACCTACCAATCATAAACGGCATGGTGGAAACTTTCAAATTGATGAAGTTCGTTTGACAAACGATCACATAACATTATTAAATTATTATTTCCAATTCAGTAAAAAATACAGGAATCACAATTTGATTGGTCAGGTGCAAGAAACATTACTATTTATACTCTTTGTTTTCTAAGAATATCAGCAAGTCTAAGGATACCATTAGTAATTTTGTACATACTCTTTGTTCCTGGAGGATTAATCAACTTTTGAATCAAGCCAGTTTCCGAATCTGACTTTCTGTTTACAACAATCTTCTATCTCTAAAGTTTAGAGATCAGCTAAGAAGTCAGAATTTAGAAAGTTTCGTTCCTATTAGTATTATAATACATGACTGTAAAGTCACCAGTAACTGTGAGGCAGTGATAATAAAAGATCTCCAAATCTTATGATAATTGTAAAAGGTCTTCCAAAACTCAAGTTAAATCATTATCAGTGTTTGATAATCACTATTTAAAAACATCTTAACGATACATTATTATGTACCCTAACATCTAAATATTTATTCATACTTCATGCAGCATGACCATCAGTCAAATCTAGAGTTGAAAAGCAGCGGGACCAGCAAAGCAGATGTAGCAGTAACTGCAGAGGTACCGCACATTCTCTTCAGCATGATTTGGGATGAAGAACAAAAACCAACAAACTGTAGGGAAGGATACCTGGAAGAAATCAGGAAGAAGTGCTGGAAGTGGATAGGACACACATTGAGGAAAGCACCCAACCGCGTCACAAGGCAAACCCTCACTTGGAATCCTCAAGGCCAAAGGAGGAGAGCAGGATCAAAGGACACATTAGGCCGAGAAATGGAGATAGACATGAGAAGAATAAATAACAATTGGATAGAACTAGAAAAGAGGGCTCAGGACAGAATGGGTTGTAGAAAGCTTGTCTGCGTTCTATGCTACATTTGGAGTAACTTGTGTAAGTAAGCAATACAGTATATACATAAACATTCAACTCATTCATATAATAATTGTATTCGTTGTTTAACAACTTTGCAGTTTCATTTTATTAGTTTATCGTACACTAAAACATCTGATATAAATATTCAAAGTGTGGTAAAATTTGGACTTCAAAACAGATTGCCTTCAAATCCATTTTCAATCATTCCACAACAGTTTCTATTTTATATGAGATCATAACATTTATTTATCAACTGTGGAATTTATTGTATAAAACAGTACTTTTTATGGATATATTTATCAGTTTTTGACAAGAGTACCAGAGTTCTTATAATCCATTCAAATGCTTTTGAGGCTACAAGCATTACAAAATGTTAAGCATCACTACAGTACGTTGATTATTTCTTTTTGCCATCCTAGGTGAGACTTTAATCTCTGGACGACCGTTGAGCGACTCCAAAGTGACCTTGAGAATACCACATACTAACTAGGACCAAACGAGGGTTATAAAATATGGTGAGGAACTATAACTAAGATTTAATGTTGATGGTTAAGGGTTATGAACTAGATTTGTGGTTTTCATCACGAACTGACATCAGCCAAAATACGGAAAACGCTCTTTGACCAAATGGATGAATGAATTTTGCGCCAAAATCCAAGACCTTTATCTTATATCTGATTGGTTCGTCCATAAAATATAATTTTGCCCCACTAACTGAAATAATATTATACACAACAGTAATTTGTTCATAATCCACATGTCTTGTGCTCATGGTTCCTATGTTACCTACAGTAATTAGAGCCAACTACAGTTTACTTAAAGAGTTTATTCATTAGTAGATTATGTGTGACAAAATGAAAACCGTAATCAACATACAAAGATATATCTCAAACGAAAAGTGTCAGGCACATCCATTGTACAAAACAAACTAGTTTCTTTAACTGTTATATTATGCATCATTCTATGTCGTACAACAAATAAACATGAAAAGTTAGCATTGAGTGTCGTTAATCACTTGTTCTAATTATAATTTGGATTGTTTAACATAACAACACAAGATTCCAGAATGAATAAGTTAGTTAAAGCAAATATCTGTTAAGTTATTTAAATCATTCTGTTTTTCAGAAATCATTATGGAGATTTAAAAAGAACAGCATGATATTTAACAAAAATTCCATTGAAGGGACAAGTACTTTGAAGATTAAAAGACAATTGATTTTTCTGTCTTTAAAAGATTTGTCAAAGCATTATCTTGTTTATTGAAATACTTCTGTTTTACATCATCTGCCAAATAGATTCCATATTCTGCTTCATATAGATCACATACTGTTTGTAAATCAATCTGAAATATCATTAATAATAAATTATAAGTTAGGAATATGTTTTAGACTTTTCGTCAAGTGGATAGTGAGGAAGGAATGTGAGAAAAAGAAACAAAGATTCTATACATCATGTCGATTCATATTTAGATAAAACCCTGCAAACAAACTATGATTCCTTAATGAAATAATGTGATTAATTACTCAATCTAGGGTTGATAATTCCCATTTTTGAAGTACCTCCTTCGGTGACCGCCAGTTGTTATCCACCTACCAAGACCACTTTATGAATCAGAGAGAAACTCATAATAATGATAAATGTTTTGATTATTTCTTTGTCTAGAGAGAAGAAAGGACTTTGTATAGTGTAATCCGTAAACACTCATTGTAAAAAAGATATTGCATCGATACCTTGAAATATCTAAGTATAGATAAATTATGGTTCTCTAAAATTTGCTAAAGAGAATAATCACAGCCGTCAGTAACCTGAAAATATGTTGATACATTTTTCCTACCTTGGTAAAAGACAATTCTATTGTAAAGATCTTTCAAAAGCTTTCATTCAATTGAATATATGATTATTTGATTTTTGACTACCTTCTTGTTCAATAATTCCATCTTGATAAGGTTTTGTGACGATCATAGATTTTCCGCAGTTTCTGAATCATAAACGTTTGAAACACGGAAGCACATTCAGGCTGTTTCATGCGAGTACAGAACTCCTCAGCACTGTCCAATCATAAGCTCGTCAAAAGAAATAAAACTCAGGACCCTTGGCTTCACATACAAATCTTTAATCCATGTAGGTCACTCAGCTAGAATATTCAACTTCAGTCAGTTCACCGAATTGTGCTTCTATCTCCCGTTGCCTGATGTGGATAACTGTCTTACACCAGACGTAGTTGAATTCGACTATTCATGGATCCTACCTTGAACTGCTGTACTGACAGATTTGCGCCGGTCTCCCACATTGTACGAGCATCCCATGTACCTAAATTAATGGTTGCTCTGGTTGTCAGAATAGGTATCAGCCTCTACTTTCATCATGAGGCGTCATAACCTTCTAACTCCCTGAAGCAGGGTTTAAATTGTCTGAATCATTTTTGGTTAGCGATCTTTGGTGAGTTAGTTTTCTACGGGATGGGGTTGTTAACCCCATACGCAACCCTCCTCTTTTATCCGAGCCCGGGACCAGCAGTAACCCAATGGGGCTTGAGGCAGGTTGGAGAGTGCTCGTAAGGCGGCTTATGCTCCATTGGGAGTAAGTAAGTAATAAGTAGAGTTTGTTACGTATACATATTCAAAAACATACTAGATATTATGAATAGCCTTATAACATATTTAAAGTGAAAATGGATAAACTATAACGAGGAAAGATGTCATTTATTCCACATAAACGTACTTCTGAACGGAAAATAAGTAAACGTTGAGCAGTTAACATATCGATAAGTTCTTTATGAAGTGCATCATGGATTAAGATAGCAAAATACATTGGTTTCGTTACAGAATAATTATCTGAAATGATGTAGATGAAAAGTCAGTCGATTAATAATGAGCGATTCTTACTAGAAATGAAATGAACTTTAAAGCAATTAGTCACTTTGATAAATTTCGATAGTATAATAAGAAGACGAAGATTTTAAAATGGTGGAGATCTGTAGCTCAGGTGGATGATTTTGATGCAGTTTTGTTTTTCGAGCTAAATGGTTTGGTCATGGAGCTTTCCGCAGAGAAACAGGAACAAAAATCAAACCAACAGAAGATAAAACCAAAATAAAGAAGTAAACAACGACAAGTTTAAGGTCAACAAGTAGCAGTCAACATCGAGGTCTACAGTACAAGCTGTGAACCACATGTAGAGATATTCGAACACTTCACTTCTATCTGAAGTTTGAGCTGATGATGTCGTTCAGAAGAACGATAAAAGCTTCACGACCAAACCATTCAACTCAGAGAACAAAATTCCATCAAAAAACGAAAATTGTCAGAACTATGTAAATATATATAGTTCTGATAATATTCGTCTTCTTATTACACTATCTAAATGACCTTTATTAATCTTTATATTAAATGTGCTGACAAGTACATGTGTGACCAGATTATTCAAAACTGATTTGGAGCACCAGAATTGATCAGTCCGGTTTCGGCTATGAGAATCTTGTGAGGATTGCCGTGAACTCAGTAACGCTTGGGTCAAATATAGACACGTAATACACTTGGCTACTGAATCCAGATGTTCATTAGGTAATGCATTGGGATGAAGAAATGTTGGGGACGTTAAATCCCTAGAACTCACTTGAAAAAGGTCCTAATTTTGTTATTTTATTTTGAAAATTTGAATTTCTTTGTTTTCGCAACAAATCACTCTTTTCACTTTCATATCGTGTTTCCCACTTGGGAGAATCTTAAACGCTGTTGATTCGTTGTGTGTTTTAGTATGCTATTTTGTAACCCTTCCCAAGGACGGTTTTGTGCTGTGCATATTGGGGAAGCCTTCACAATAAACTTTGGGGAAATTTTGTGGAAATAGCACAAAAACCCTAAAATTTCCTCAGACCTGGAGAAATCCCCCAATATTTCCCAAAACATTGGTGAAGGTCATTTGACTTCGAGAATTTCCCCAAAATATCCCGAAATTTCCCCAAACTTGAGAGCTCGGGCTGTGTTGACTCTAATTTCTTAAACGTTCTTAAGTTTTCAGACGACTATAAAACGTGAATATCATCGAGTAGAAACATAGTAGGAAATTTCCTTTCATGTGATATATATAAACATTAATCTTGATAAGTATTCAGGTACCTGGATAATCGCACAATCTGAGAATGATCGTGTTAGCCTTCCAACCTTGTAAACAATCGTTTTAAAAAATATTCTTATTGGCTAAAAGAGATTACAGCATTTGCTTATTTCCATTGGTACACAGCAAGAATTATAAACACGTTAATGTTGAGTTGGAATTTTATTCGTTTAATCAGCTGATAATGAACTAATACATGTATACCGATAGCAGTTTTAATGACCTCATCACATTCACAATTTAAGTAGATTGAGGTTAAACATAAAGAAAACTAGATAAATAATACTTACACAATGACATTAATAAATCATGCATTTCACCAGATGATCTACGTTGAATCAATTCAGAGGACACTCTTCTGAAATCCTTTTAATAAAATAAAGCCAAGATCAAAATCAGATCACCGTCATTGAGAAAAACAATTCGATTTTAATCTCACATCAACTACAAATAATACTATTTCCAAATATTCTATTCAGAATTCTTACATACGATCATATATAGGAGCTGTTATAACTTGGTGTTGTTTACTTGTATCTTACCATTGTTATTTAGGACTGCAAATGATCAGTCTCTTATCTGCTAGCCACTATCCATCTTTGCTTATGAAGATTGTGACTTCAGGCAATATCGAGAGAGTCCGCACAGGGTGTACATATATCAATAAGAGACAGAATAATTGCAGTCCTAAATAACAATGGGAAGATATAAGTAAAAAACGATACCAAATGGATATAACTTCACTCCATTGCACAAACAGGTGACTATCAGGACTCAGTAGCTAAAAGGATAACGTGATGACGTTTGAAGCGGACGGTAGTGAGTTCGACTTCCAGAGTCAACTTCAACTCTGAGATGCAGGTAAATCCAGCTGACGAGTCCCAGATAGGACGAAGGCCACGTTCTGGATTTCACTGTTAACCACTATCCATCGTTGCTTACAAAGCTGTTACAACTTTTCTAATATATATGTCTATATGGGAATAGTTAATAATATCAGTTAATTTACTCACTCGTTGGTACATCATATCAAATTCGTCTATTTGAAATGGATTAAGTTTACAGAGAAGATTACTTAACTGTTGTTGATTATCTTCCCTAAAATCAATAAAATTCAGGATAAAGTTAGAAAATCAAAATTGTAAAGCAGAAAAAAAGAGTTGCTATAGAACTAAGTAAAAATGTAATGAATAATGTGAAATTCACATATACAATACAATTTACCATGCACAGTTTAGTTTTACTTCGAAGTTAAAATACATGTTATCAATCTAAGATAATGATGACTATGAAGACTATTGTCCTGAGTATTATTGACTTCGCAGCAGAGAACTTACTAATCAATTGCGTTGCTAAATAACAATGAAAAGACACAAGTAAATACCATCAAGTGAATTTAAAACTTCACCCCATTGCAAAAGCAAGTGACTATCAGGACTCAGTAGCTAAGTGGATAACGCGATAGCGTTTGAAGCCAACGGTACTAGGTTCGAATCCAAAAGTGACTTTGAGCTGTAAGATGCAGGTATGTTCAACTGATGAGCCACAAATAGGACGAAACGCGCGTCCTGGATTCTACTGCTAGCCACTCCCAGGCATTGTACCGAAATTATGGTTGTCAACTAGATATCCAAGACGTTCACAATTAGATACAGGATTTATGTACTTGAAATATACATTCTCTATATGGTTATCCAGTCTTACTGATAGTAGTTGAATTACGTAAGATTTAGTCATACAGTTGAATAGTTAGTGTAGTTGGTTAGATTTTTAGATTAACGAATTTCTAAGAAACGTTCAATGTAACTAATCTGATTAAAGGAGAGCTAAATTTTATTGTATCGCATCACGAACTATATCCATTTAGCGGTTATTTGGTAGCTACCAAACTTTTCTGATTTATTCATTTATAAAGCAAACATAAATCAACCACGACGTTATAGAATGACGAACTTGCAGAATTGTACGCCCTACACAATTGGCTCAACAGGAGCATGTGGCGAGTTCAGTATCGCACTATAGTACAGCACCAGTCAGATACAAAAGAAACATGATAAAGACCCTGACTCCTCGTGCTAGAATGATTTGCTCGGATGACATCACTGTAGATGAACTAGTTAACATTCGTAACTTCCTTGGTAGAAATGGATACTCAACGAAATTCATTGACAACCACATGAAGGAGATGAAAAGTAGAATGAGGGTACCTACCGTTCTAAAGAAATTGTTGTTTTTAAAATTACAATTCCTAAATGATACTACTGAAGAAATTGTGACTCAGAGATTAAGAAGGGCGGTACAAAAGTATTTAATGCAGCCAAACTGAGTGCTATCTTTTACAACCACCCCACAATAAAATCGGCTAATAAAAACAGATTGCCTGAATTCGCCAAATCCATGTGTATTTATCGATTCAACTGCTCCTGTGGGGCCAGTTATATAGGGCGTACAATTCGGCAAGTTCATCATCGTATAACAGAACACCATGCGTCATGTTTAAGCAAAGGACAGGTAAGAGTGATTAAGAGCACTATTCTAGCTCACTTGATGGACACAGGTCATCAAGTTGAAATGAATAAAGCTTTGAAGGTTATCCACCATATGCCAACAAATCCGCCACATGGTTTACGAATGATCACAAACCTAACCTTTGTATTTATAATAAGTGTGTACAATCACTCTCACTACCTTGGTCATTGGTATAAGGGAGTTTGTAGCAGAACTTTGATAAACTATTTTCGTATTTCTTCCATTTTTTGTATTTTACTTATTCTCAACATTGGTCTCTTGATTCTTACATAACTACCGTACTACTGACCATTCATCAAAAATATCCTATTAGTTCTTTCTCGTTTTCATATATTATGCAACGTAGCAACTTCTTGATTTTCAAATAAATGCTTCCAATATCATTAATCCTATCCACTCAATGAGTATTACTTCATTATTGTAAATCATACTTATATTAATTTAATTGTTGAACTAATCAGGTTTTCACAGATTGAAATCATGAGTCAATTGAAGCTAGACCACCATGGAAAACCTGGAAGCACTGGACGGCGTTTTCGCTTTAGTATGGAACTCTTCAGCAATGCACATCCACGACCCCGCCTCGCGAGAGTCGAACCCAGGACCTATCAGTCTCGCGAGCGGCGGCTTCACTTCGTGGATTGGTTGAAGTTAGAGATTAACACCGTTGGGTGCCGGCTCAGTGGCCCACTGGTTAGGCGCTCGCGTGCGAGACTGATAGGTCCTGGGTTCGAGTCTCGCTGGGCGGGATCGTGAGGAGTCCTGTATTAGGACGAAAAGGCCGTCTAGTGCCCCCAAGGTCTTCCATGGTGGTCTAGCTTCAGCTGACTCATGAATTCAACAATTAAATCACTGTAATATCCACAAAACTCCTCTCTGATAATATATATTAATGTGAAGTCACGATGTTAAACTAATTGGAAAGAAATTAGTACAGTGAATACATTCCTTTAACATGTATATTGAAACAAGGATGGACTTACACTGAATTCGTTTGTTTCAACAAAACATGAAATGTTTTACTAACTTCATTCATATTAACTACCGGCTTAAAAACATCATCTTCCGTTAGTTGTTGTTCAATTTTAACTTTTCTTGTTTCAACTACACATTGTATAAATTCTTGTGTAGATTTCCCAAATCGTTTTTCTATAGTCTTCCAAATTGATTCATTCGAATCTGTAATGTTAAAAGACAGTGAAAAATAGAATGTCAACTTCTTTTTCCTTCTTACTTACTTACTTAGGCCTGTTACTGCTCGAGGAGGAGCGCCATTTATTATCTAAACAAAAGAGGAACTCCTGTCGAACATTATCTAAAAGTGACTATAATTGCCGAGTATAACAATGAAATTAGTCTCATTTATGAGTTATCATTAGATTGTAATGTAGTCAAAAATCAAGCAGTCTATTCTAAGTTTTTTTACCATGTGTTACAATATAACAAAGGAATTTGAATATCGGGGAAACGACATTACTGGTAGAACATGCTGATGAGGACACTCGTGGAGAAAATACAGTTGTTCTCTAGTAAAAGCCTGTCTTTTGGCAAATTTCTCCCATTTTTGAACAACTAAAAGCGTACCACGCTCATATGATTTTGAAATGGTGGAGATTTGTAGCTCAGGTGGATGATTTTGATAGTTTTGTTCTTTGAGCTGGATGGTTTGATCGTAGAGCTTTTGTCGTTCTTCTGAACGAAATCATCAGTGCAAACGTCTACCAAACCATCCAGGTCAAAGGACGAAACTCCATCAAAAACGACACTATATTGGACTATGATTATCAATAAAATGAGAGGTCTGTAGAACGAATTGAATACCATGATAGTCTTTCATTGTTCCAAATGTGACTTGAAGTGACAAAATTTTCATTATGTTTCAACGAAGTTCCTTTGGCGAATACTTAAACTAGAAGGTTATTCATTCAGTCTAATCATAAAACAGTTGAGAAATCAACTAGAATTGAATGTTTCGAACTGTGGCTTTTGAATTTATCGGTTTTGAATCATTAAAACTACAGTATCAGAACAAAATGATAATAAGTGAAAATGTTGATGACCGGAAAGATAATGTATTGATTGTCCATTTAGTTAAATCTATCATTTCTTTGTTTTTAAGACCTATACTTTTCAAGAATACACCAGACGTCTTAGGACTCGTCAGCTGAGTGTTCCTGGATATGTAAGCTCATTCTGTGACTCATACCTGGTACTTTTGGCTTCAAAAGACAACACATTATCCTCTTATTTGCTGAGTTCAGATGGCCAGTATTTAATTCGACTGTAGTCAAATTATGAATAGAACAATTATAAATTAATTTGAAAACAGTAGTTGTTCAACAAGCGAGTGGCTATTAGGACTCAGTAGCTAATGTGATATCAAGTTGATACACTTCAATTATCTATCCCATCTTATCAAGTTTCAAGAATACATAGCAAAAAGTGTTGCATAATTTGAAAACCATCTTGTACTTCGTAGCTTGCAGTGAATTCTTATCACATTTAATTAGGCAATATAAACTGTAATAGACTAGAGAAGTGAAGTCATACATCAGATCTAAAAACGAATCTAAGCAATTAAAATGAAATATGTACACACATGGACAAAACTAATCAATTAAGAGAAGAATATGATTCATTCGAATTTGTTTCTATCTCTTGTTTATACTCTCTACTCACTAAGCTACGGAGTTTATTCACTTAAAGCTATGCTCCAGGTTCTTTATGAATTTAGATATCAGAAATCGTAGTTTATCTACCTGAGATGAACTAAAAATGAAAGAATTGTGTTATAGATTTCATTGTTACTAAGAATTGCACAAATATGTGATATGGAACAATCAATTGAATGGAATTCATCACTCTAAATCAACTTCACTGACTACGAGAAAGAATTTGATAACGTGGATAGGAAAACACTATGGAGGCTTCTTTCACACTAGGCGTGCCTGAGAAGAGAGTCAATATAATACGGAATCCCTATGATATATTAAACTGCAAAATCGTGAATGGAGAACAGCTCATAAGCTCGTTTGAAGTAAAGACCGGTATTAGGCAGGATTTTTTACTCTCACCTACCCTCTTTCTGCTGGTGATGTCAACATCCGTAGGGAAGCATGCGATACAGTGGACAGCTAGGATGCAACTGGACAGTCTAGACTTCGCAGACGACCTGGCTTTTTTATCGCGCACACAACAGCAAATGCAGGAGAAGACGGCCAGTATAGCGGCAGTCTCAGCAGCAGTAGGTCTAAAAATACACAAAGGGAAAAGCAAGATTCTCCGATACATCACAGCATGCACCAATCGAATCACACTTGACGGAGAAGTTTTGTAAGATGCAAAAACCTTTACATATCTGGCCAGCATCAATGATGAACACAGTGGATTTGATGCAGCAAATCCACAATTGAAGAACATTTTGAACTCAAAACACATGTCAACCAACACCAAGGTCAGCATCTTCAATACAAACTTCAAGTCAGTTCTACTGTATGGGGCGGAAACTTGGGGAACTACGAAAGCCATCATCCAGAAGATACAAGCGTTTATTAACAATTGTTTACGCGAAATATTTCGGATCTATTAACCAGACATTATTAGCAACAACCTACTGTGGAAGAAAACAAACCAGATCTCAGCGGAGGAAGAAATCAGGAAGAAGTGCTGGAAGTGGATAGGACACACATTGATGAAAGCACCCAACCGCATCAAAAGGCAAACCCTCACTCAAAATCCTCAAGGTTAAAGGAGAAGAGCAAGATCAAAGGACACAATAGGCTTAGAAATGGAGGCAGACATGAGAAGAAAGAATAACAATTGGATAGAACTGGAAAGGAAGGTCCAAGATAGAGTGGGTTGGAGAATGCTTGTCGGCTTCCTATGCTCCATTGGGAGTAACAGGCGTAAGTAATTAAGTATTTATGATAATTTCTACTGTGTTACTAACATAATTTATAAATATTTTCCACTTGATTAAATTCATTTTCCCAGAAATCCATCAATAAACCAGTTGTTATTTGTAAATTTGATGTATATATTGCTTTATACAATTCTTCAGCAAATAAAATTGATGTATCTGTTAATAGATCTTGAAGTAATAGTTTCAAATTATTCGGTTTCACATTGTTCATTTCATTCATTAATGACTAAATAATAAAGAAAACAAAGTGACGTTAAGAATATTAATGTAAAACGAATATGAAATCAAGTATTGAATTTGTGCATTGAGATTGAATAAAATATGTAAAGCTCATTAAAGACCTCCCCTCCGGTGTTCATAGTTCAGCAAGAATAATATTTATTTCAGTAGTTGAGATCATGAGCCAATTGAAGCCAGACCACCATGGAAAACTCGGAAGTACCGAACGGCTGTTTCGTCCTAGTATGGGACTCCTCACCATCCACGACCTTGCCTTGCGTGCGAGCGCTTAACCAGTAGACCATCGCGTTATCCACTTAGCTATTGAGTCCTAATAGCCACTTGCTATCATTCAGCTGACGAGTCTCAAATAAGACCCAACGCGCGTCCTGGATTCCACTGTTATCCACTATCCATCTTTGTATATAATGTAATACATGTTTATCTTATATCAGATATACATTAATGAAAATCGATAATACAAGTAGAAGTTATAGTATGTTTACGAAGAGTATAGTTTAAACATTGTCCTTAATGTAGTAAATGTATATTAACCTTGATAAATATGAAAAATATAAACTTTTGAAAATCTTGGTTGACAACTATTTACTTACTACTCTCGAAATGCATTCATAAATTTATGTATTTATTTATTTAAAAGCACAAACATTGATACAAGGAGGCACCAAGTAGATATGCAACACATAAATCCTTCGATTTTTATGAGGGCTGGGATACTTTCTGGGTGCCCGAACTCAAGCAGGTAGTTTTCTTAGGGGGTTACACCCGGAACCTTCGATCTAAATGTCTAATCCACAAGGGAGTGGAGCAACTTAAGGAAATGCAGTCACATGGTAGCCAGTGACCAACGGTTGCTTCATATCCCATTTATTCCTTCAGGATACTGGACACCATTGGTTTGCAGTCAGGGTTTTCCGACTCCTCTAGATAGACTCACCGTGTCCACTAACCCGGTTAAACAGCCGGACATTTGCTTTTCATCCTCTCAATTTCGTAAACAACATCCATGGTGCGAGAAGGCAGTAAGTAGGACTTCCCTGTCAGTGGCTGTTTGCACGTGGCAATTTGAGAACATATCAGGAAAGAGGGCTGACCTTCCCCAATCTCGACTGTCAGTCAGTCTTGAGTGCTGTTAGAGGTATGAGGGCGGTTTTCACTTCCCGGTTGCCCACATCGTGGAAGGGTTCTTTTGGAGGTACCTGAAAAGGAATTAGGATTAAAGGTGGTCTTAGTGACCTGAGAGCGTGACCGCAGTGCCCAAGGGACAACTGCTTGAGGTCGGTCACACACGACCTTGTTATGGGTAATTTTTGTGTTAGCTCCGTGCTTATTGAGACCTTACCGCCGGAGACGGATATCCGTGGGATAAGGTGAGGTGTGCATTTTTAGGGTCGACCTTTTCTAACCCCACCCCTCCTTGTGGGAAGGCAGCATCGCTGTCATGCTGGTTGTCTGAAAGGAAACACCTTACTGCTGTCACACCTCTGTACAGTCAGCAGTACGACTTCGCCTTCAGACCTTGGGTTTGTTGCTTTTAGTCTTACCGCTCTTCAACCGACCTGTCTGACATGGTAGGACCTTGAGGAACGGTTGTTCCAGCCAGTATAGCTCGGTTGCTTCATCACGATAGGCAAGCCCGACCACCACGTCAAAGTAGCAACAACGGTCGGTCTGGCAGCATCTCGACTGTACCATGGCCGATTAAACAGTACTTCATTTCTCTTGAGAAACATAGAAAAAGAGGTGTGAGTACAAAGCACTTAATAAAAAAGGAGTGGACAAATATTTTAAAACTTACAGTTTTAAAGATTTTGTTATAATGAAATGCGATTTGTTGGCGTTGAGCATTTGTTCGTGTTAATAAAATTTCTAAAACCATATCATATTTTTGTTCTATGAAGTATCAAAAAGGAAACGATTTGAAATGGATCTATTAGGTGAATATAATCGTCATTAATTATGAGTTGATGAATTACGTTAAAAATATATAAAGATAGTTAATTAATATCGTCTTTAGTACAAAGTTATAGATCTTCCATAAAATCTATGAAAATAGATCATAGATATCTATGATCTATGTTGATCACGATCAACGATGACAACTGTTAGTATCCATTTATGGACTAATACTATATGTATATATTCTTATTGTATAGTTATTAGGTAACTAAACTATGCATATTCATGTTCCTCTTGTTATAAGCTTTATTTTGACCTATGAACTATTATTATACGATTTACCATTCTTGATTTATGTCCAGTCTATTAATTACAGTCTCCCACATTCACAGACACTTTTGGCTAGATCTGGTACAAATGTGTATTTTCTATTTTATAGTATGATGTGGACTGTTTGGTGTGTAATACATGATTCATATTGTGATGTGTGCTATTTATATTGACATAAGTAGTCAGGAATAGAATGTCTGGCAGCAGAATGTCATGAAGATCAACGGGGAAAGGACGCGAACAAAAACCGATTGATATAAAAATGCAGTAACAATGAAGTTTGAGATGACTGAATGATATTTTCAAAGAAATTCCAATTTTGAGATGATTGACATTTTTCAAATGAAGTATTGACTGTATGACTCTCAGATTTTACTAAGATATTCTTTAATTTGTGTTCATATACGTTCGTATATCACCACTTGTGTTCTCGTTCTCGGCTGAGATTGGTGTTCTCGACTTAACAGGAAGGTCTAGGCAACATGTAGGACCGATAAAGTCCCTAGACTACGAGGTTTATGGGTCATTTTTGTGGTTGATAATTCACTGTTCTCTAATAGGTGGTATCATTAGGCTCTACATTGATAGGGACACAATGTCACATGTTATAACAAGATGAAACTAAAGTTAACAATTATTTCATGAACATAATTGATTGCCAAATGGTTCTCAGATTGGTTACTCATGATTGTCATTATTTACAGATTTATCGTCTGGATATGTAATCCTTTTGTTTTTGACTTAATCAAGTTTTCACAGATTGAAATCATGAGTCAATTGAAGCTAGACCACCATGGAAAACTTGGAAGCACTGGATGGCCGTTTCGTCCTAGTATGGGACTCCTCAGCAGTGCGCATCCAAGAGATACTCCTGGAGTTCTAGTGAGAAGCCGTTACCAGTGGAGTTCAATCAGGTCTGTTGTGAGATATCAACTAATTGAAGACAATGGTGTACGGTGGCGCAACTTCGTGGGTTAGTTGAAGTTAGACATTAACACAGTTGGGTGCCGGCTCGATGGCCCAGTTTATTTATTTATTTAAACATATAAACATTGGTACAAGGAGGCACCAAGTAAAGATGCGCCCCACAAATCATTCGATTTGTGTGAGGGCTGTGATACTGCCCGGGTACCCAAACCGAAGCAGGTGGTTTTCTTAAGGGGCCACACCCCGAGCCTTTGATTTAAAGGCCTGACCCACAAGGCAGTGGAGCATCGTGAGGAGATGCAGACCCATGATATCCGGTGACCAACAATTCGTTCATACGCCATTCTTTCCCTCAGGATACTGGAGCCCATGTGCATCATTGGTTTGGAATCCGGTTAAGGCGTCGGACATTGGCTTTTCGTCCTCTCAATTTCGTAAACAACACCCATGGTGCGAGAAGGCAATGTGTAGGACTTCCCTGGCAGAGGTTGTATACTCGTGGCCGTGTGAAAGCATTTCGAGAGGGAGGGCGGGCTTACTCCACTCTTGGCCATACCAGAGCATTTGGGACCATGGTCCAGTTGGTTATGCGCCTGGTGCGACACCGATAGGTTCTGGGTTCGAGTCTCGTGTGGTGCGGTGTCGTGGATGCGCACTGCTGAGGAATCCCATACCAGGACGAAACGGCCATCCAGTGCTTCCAGGTTTTCCATGGTGGTCTAGCTTCAATTGGCTCATGATTTCATTCTGTGAAATTTCTAAAGTCTCCACAAAATTCATTCCGATAATCAAGTTCTATCTTAAATCTTTATTTGGAAAAATGTAAAACAAGCAATAATTTTTTTCAGGTAGTGGTTTTGCGGAGATTGTAGTAATTTGATAGTTGAATTCATGAGTCAACTGAAGCTAGACCACCATGGAAAATCTGGAGGTACTGGATGGCCGTTTCTTCCTATTGCGGGACTCCTCATCAATGTACATCCACGATTTGAAACCAAGACCTATCGTTCACGTGCGCGAACGCCTGATTTCTAGACCACTGAGTAGGCATTCAAAGGCCGTCCAGTCCTTTCAGGTTTTCCATAGTGATCTAGCTTCAATCGACTCATAAATTTAACTATTAAACAATGTTTTTAAAAACTTTTTTACAATCAATCTAATGGTGTATAAATATGGATAGAGACTGGTTTACTAATAATTCAAGTTATTTTATTAGTAGCATTGGAAAGAAGACTTACCTTTAGTTTTAATTTTTATGTTTTGGACATCATTATCAACAGAAAAGTCGTTACTGGTGTCTATTTTTGGTTGAAAAACATATCCTTGTGAATCAATTTTATTTAATGGTGAACGAATAAATATTGGTCTGAAATCATGCAAAAATGGATTATATGTAAAGATAAATATTGACGTAGCTTTGTTTTCCGAAGTGGCTGGTTTGATCGTGGAGCTTTCATCGTTCTCCTGAACGATATCATCAGTTTACCTGAAGTTTGTGCTGATGATGTCGTTCAGAAGAACGATGAAAGCTCCATGACCAAACCATCCAGCTCAGAGAACGAAACTCCATCAAAATCATCCACCTGAGCTACAAATGATCTCCACTATGAAGATAAATCTGTTAAAATTAACTGAAAGAATGAAGTTATTTGAATAAACGTCTTGATTAAACACCGTTGGACACCGTTTCAATTGTCTAGAGGTTAAGCTGTCGCACGCGATTCCGAAGGCTCTGGGTTTGGATCCCGCAATAGGGATCGCGGATGAGTACTGCTGAGGAGTCCCGCAGTAGGACTGTCCAGTCCTTCCAGGTGTTAATGGTGGTCTAACATCATTAGGTTCATGATCCCAATCGAAAACCTAATAATCTTCACATCCCTATACTGATAAGAAATATCTGTCAAAATTTATGAACTTGTGAATAATGCAACCGAATGTTCAATAAGGAAGGAATAAAATTATGAAAATTGAAAATTGCAAGACTTTTTATAACATATTGATTTGGCGCTAAGTTTGACTATTATTATAAATGTTGATGAAGAAACGTTCTATTATGCGTATCTTAAGTCTTCACACTATCTACCTACTGTGCAGTATAAATTACAATTTGTAGTATTAACATAGATTCGCGCTTGTGTAATTTCTTGTACTTTTTGCTGGCTTCATTTAAGATCCCTTAATTATCTTATCAGACATGGTCGTCAATAAAAATCATAGTTTATAAGATTTTTGAGAATTTTTCTAGTTTGTAGGTAGTCGGTCAGTCAGCTACAACGTGGGACCAGGCACATATATGCATCTGTTCAAGTTACCACACCACATAAACACAGAAAGATGAACATCAAATTCATAGATGCAGTTACTTCTATGGTAGTAGCTAATATCTATAAGAGACTGCGATGTTGATGTTGAGCCAAATACATGTATATCCAGTCTTTGTTTATTCGATGTTTAAAAACTGTAAAGAATCTCCATAAGACCTGATTTTTAAAGTACGAAAGAAACCACTTAGTGTTTTTTTTCAATTGTATGACATACATAAATCGAATAGTAATAATCAACATCTTTAAACAGGAATTCATTTCATGGATTAGTTGAAGTTAGACATTAACACCGTTGGATGCCGTCAAGTTTATTGGACCAGAGGTTAAGCGTTCGCGCGCGTGACCGATAGGTCCTGTGTTGAAATCTAGCGAGACGGGATCGTGGGTGTGTGCTGTTGAGAAGCCTCACAATGGGTCAGAATGACGGTCCATTGCTTCCAGGTTTTCCATGATGGTCTAGCTTTGATTGACTCATGATCCCAACTATCAAAAATTTATTGTTTAATGGTGACTATTCGGGAAACTAACGCACATATAAGATATCATGAAGAAAGTTTTACAAATATTCTCTTGGTCCATAAAATTTCAAAACCTTCTAATTCGACTCACAACCGTAGCATTTACAAACCAAATTCAGATGTCTAATGTCAATGAGTAAAATTATAGCAGACTTCTGTGAGTATTGTGATAATAAACATTAATTAGCTAATGTATTTTGTTAACCATGTGGACGTATTTGTATTTATAGTGAGTGCGCTAGAAGACTGCCTCATTCTAGTAAAAAATCCTCAGAGGTGTGTATCCACGATTCTGCCAAACAGAGTCAAAGTGAGGACCGTCGATACCGACTAACCATATCTCTTTATCTTCGACGGATTTTTATATCACATCTGGCAGAGCTGGACTGTATAGCCACGGCATCTCACCAGAATTATAAAAGTTTGCTGCCAAAGTTTGTCAAGAGCGAATAAATCACGTGTATCACATACTAATCATCATTTCATTTATTAAATATATATTTCAGGACATATTCGTTTGATACAGTTATACTTACCGTTGTTTATCAGATGACTGTGAATGAAAAGTATGGTGGAATATTTGATTGTTAATGTATAAATATAAAGAAATGTCTGAATTCACTGCATAAAGTATTCATTGATAATAGAATATTCACATAATTTGATGAAATACGTTATTTATATTGAAACTAAATTAATCTCCTAGTTGATAATCTTAACTACTGGTTCTTCAACTTTCTCTACCAATACGTATCCACAAATGATCTGAGACGGCGAATAGTGGGAAGAGTCAGTTCTCGCTCACTCTGTCTTAAAATGCTCTCACATGGTCACGTATAAACAACCACTTACAGAGAAGTTCTACGCACTGCCTGCTCGCGATAATAACAGTGTTTAAGAAATTGAGAGGGCGAGAAGCGAATGTACGGCAACTTCAACGAATTGTTCGATAGAAACGTCCAAGAAGGAGAATTGAACAGTCCATATTTCGAAACGATAGTGCCAAAAGACTCCAACAATACTCTCGAAATAAAAAGGCGAATCAACCGATGGTTGGTCACCATTTAACATGGAAATCAATAACATTAAGTTCAATAACTTCAATTTGCATAATATGTTTAATTCTACGGCGACGGGTGTGCTCCATTAAGAAATCCACCTAATTCGCCTTGTTAACCCAGGCAGCAACACAGACATCACATAAATCGAAAGATTTATGTGTCGCATATCCATTCCGTGCTTCCTTCTACCAATGTTCATGTGCTCAAATAAATATTAAATACGCATTAGGAAACGATGAAATAAGGATTTGGATTTATTAAGACCAATCGTCAAATTTTGATCAGTTTACAACTACATCTCTTCATCACCAAGTCAAACTGAACACTGTTGTATTCTGTTTGCATTATTAAAAGCTTCTATAGATAAGAGGAGAAATACTGTTGTTTAGTTCAGCATAGAAATTATCAGCAAGGTATATTTGCTTATCAGTCAGTATCTATGTTTGTTTTCAGTGAATGTCACGTCTAACATTAATCTTGCAATAGCACATACCTAATCCAGATTATTGACTCGTCAATCCAAAATCATGATATAGCATTAAATTCTGTCAAAAATTTTGTTTCATTCACAAATATCTACAGACAACATACTATTAACTCTCACAGATAAGCTTTGTAAATTTTAGAATTGATTGATCACTGATGGTTGGTGATCAATGTCGTGCAAATCAGATCCTCCATTGTGTCGATCGAAACATATCGACAAAGTTGTAATTTGTCCACCAGTCTAGCTGACTCAACATTGCGTGCACTATGTTGAGACTGTAAGACAGAGAGACGGACAGAATTGTTGATTATAGGTGACCTGCAGCTTTGGCAGTGGAACTAGATTTCCGACTAAATTATGTTATTCAGTTTTACAACAATCATACGTGAAACAAATTAAAATTTGATAAAAACAATTTAGTTTACCTGAACTATCTTCAACGTGGTTTCTACAAGAATTAAAATAATCGACATGTTTAATGTCGAAAGGATTATGGGTGAGAAATTTTTATTCTTATTCAGTAATACCAATAGGTCAGCTTACTTCTTGTTTCATTTGCAATTCTGTGGACATCTTCTACAGTGAACATTGAGTGAGTGACATTCTCTGTCTTATTAACAATTCGTTCAGTACTGATGTGATCAGTTGGTGAATGAGTTGTCTGTGGTCTGAAACGAAGCGAAGTCAAACCATTTGTGTAATCAAAGAACTTTGAAGCATCTTTTTATACTTGATAGTAAATAATACTACTGAAATGTGTCATATACCAACCGAAATAAATTAGTTGGCTAAAACCACACATAACAAATACACTATTTCATTTATTTTGTGTATCTTATGCTTTCTAAACCGTTTACATTATTTCTGGGATTCTCAGCTCGTATTATTATTCATATACTTCTTATCATCATATTGACTTCGGGTTTGGGCCTGTGATTGCACCGTTGGACGTTCATTCAAATTTTGATACTTTTGAGGATTAATTTGAAAGTTTCGTAATCTGGCCTATGAATAAGAAACATGGTGAAAATGTTAATGCTGTAGCACATTTCTTCAGATTCATCGGAAAAGAAGCATATAGCTCACTTAAAACTCTAGATTTACCGGATAAGCCCATTTCGCTTTCTTTCACAACTGTCGAGCATCTACTGCTAGACTATGTTAAGTATACAAATTTCGAATGTGGTAGAGGAGGAAGATTTCGTAAAATGATTCATGAAGATATAAAAAAGTCCACTACATTACTACGTTATCCCAACCCAGTGCATACTCAAGGCTATGCAGATAACAATTCATTGAGGAGTTGCGATAGAGTTCACGAAGATCGGCACAAGTTTGGTCAATGTTTGTCCTGTGACAGGTTCCACTCTTTTAGTTCATGTAAATTTCGTAATTGTAAGTGCTTTAAATGTGGTGATATTGGACATATTCAGTCAGTTTGTACTACTACTGTTCATCTTGCTGCAACTAATATTAAGTCATGTAGTTCTGATTCTATTTAGTTGAGTATTTATAATGATCATTCATCTTTATCAACGATTTCAAATGACAGTGAAGAGTCATATATCAGTTCAGAGTTAAATGAAACTCAGAATTCTTGTGAGACAACAGTTTCTAATTAATCAACTTGTCAGATTTCTCATGTTATTGTACCAGATATGGTTTCTCCTAATGATTCAGATATTTCTGACGAAATTCCTAGCAAATCTGAGGAAAGTATGTTGAATGAACCTAGTCATGATCGAAAACATGATGTAGTTTTGATAGATGCTGATTTTCCTAATGATCATTTTACTCTGCAATCACATTCTTAATAAATTTGAGGAAGCTATTTCAGAAGAATCAAATCTTGATGTTCTATCAAATATTATATGTCCTCATAATGCATTTGTTTCTTGTGGGAACCTTGTTCAGTGCAGGGCACAAGTGCTAAATGAGCTGGAGTTTGATTACAATTTCTATGATTTCATATCAATTGCTGTTTATCCTTATCACGAAGTCACTTCTAATGTTTACTGTAGTCAATGTGAGAAATATGTTTTAAACGAAACCACATCATTCATAACATGGGGATATGAAGATCCAACATTATTTCGTGAGGGAGGATAGTGTTGAGAAATCTGTGGTTTAAATTCTAGATAATGGTTTCGATACACAACCGAAACGGCGATTGTATACAATCCAAGGAACCAAGTGAATCTGTTCCAATTTCGGTTATTATTCCAATACTAATGAGCACATTATAGATAATACAGAGTTTTATCCAATACAATGTCGGACAGACACAGGATGAACATAAGAAGACGTACAATCGATTACAAACTCTTAGATTCTAATTCAAGCTGTGGCAGATGTGGTAATTGAATGAACCAATGATTCATTTGTAATTATTGAATGCTTGATTTCGAATTCCAAATACAGTACACTCGTTCGTGCTTATCTACTAATTCTTGATCTGATTAAGTTAGTTCTGTGATGTTTAGTTCTTACTACAATTAAAAATCTCCTAATCATCATAATCATACAACATTGTGAAACGGTGATATATGGAATTGCATGTCATCTAATAGTGATCAGGTGGTACAGAACAAAGCTTTCACATTCCACATCGTACGTTTTCAGCTCGAATCTCTTTTGCATGATCATGGATGAACCCTGCTGAGTAGTTCTGTTCTAAGAGAAAACGACTTTCCACTGATTCCATTTATCCAGTTGTTGTCCGTTAAATCTTCATTTGTGATCTCAATATAATTTAACAATCTTGAAGCTACATACTATTAATCAGTTCATTGACTGAACATAAACATTCGTCAGGACATATTTGTTTTGTTTGATGCAGTTATACTTACCGTTGTTTATCAGATGACTGTGAATGAAAAGTATGGTGGAATATTTGATTGTCAATGAATAAATATAAATAAATATATGGATTCACTGCATAAATTATTCATTGATAATAGAATATCCACATAATTTGATGGAACACGTTATCCACGTTGAAACTGAACTAATCACCTAATCGATAATCTTAACTACTGATTCTTCAACTTTCTCTACCAATACGTATCCACAAGTGCCGTGTTGCGGCAGCGAGTTAGGCGAGTCCACACACACACTCTCTCTCTCCACCTTTTGATATACCCTCACATGGTCACGTGCAAGCAACCATCAACAGGGAAGTTTCACACATTGCCTGCTCGCGGCAATACTGTTCATAACGAAATGGAGAGGAGAAAATGTCAATGACCTGCGCATTAACAGGGTTGGTGGATATGGAGAATTCACCTAGGGGAGTTGAATAACACTGATTCCAAATTATTGGTGCACATTGGCTCCAATATATTGAAGGAACAAAGGCCATGTGAAACAAACGTTCGTAACTGGCTATCATGTAACAGCATCTATTGACGTTACTCCACTGCCTTGTGGATCAGACAATTAAGTCGAAGGTGACGGGCGTGCTCCACTAAGAAATCCACCTAATTCGCCTTGTTAACCAAGGCAGCAACCCAGACATCACATAAATCAGACGAATTATGTGTCGCATATCCATTCCGTGCTTCCTTCTACCAATGTTCATGTGCTCAAATAAATATTAAATACGCATTAGGAAACGATGAAATAAGGATTTGGATTTATTAAGACCAATCGTCAAATTTTGATCAGTTTACAACTACATCTCTTCATCACCAAGTCAAACTGAACACTGTTGTATTCTGTTTGCATTATTAAAAGCATCTAAAGATAAGAGGAGAAATACTGTTGTTTAGTTCAGCATAGAAATTATCAGCAAGGTATATTTGCTTATCAGTCAGTATCTATGTTTGTTTTCAGTGAATGTCACGTCTAACATTAATCTTGCAATAGCACATACCTAATCCAGATTATTGATTCGTCAATCAAAATCATAATATTATGGGATTAAATTCTGTCAACAAATACCTACAAACAACATACTATTAACTCTCACAGATAAGCTTTGTAAATTTTAGAATTGATTGATCACTGATGGTTGGTGATCAATGTCGTGCAAATCAGATCCTCCATTGTGTCGATCGAAACATATCGACAAAGTTGTAATTTGTCCACCAGTCTAGCTGACTCAACATTGCGTGCACCATGTTGAGACTGTAAGACAGAGAGACGGACAGAATTGTTGATTATAGGTGACCTGCAGCTTTGGCAGTGGAACTAGATTTCCGACTAAACTATGTTATTCAGTTTTACAACAATCATACGTGTAACAAATTAAAATTTGATAAAAACAATTTAGTTTACCTGAACTATCTTCAACGTGGTTTCTACAAGAATGAAAATAATCAGCATGTTAAATGTTGAAAGTATTATGAGTGAGACTATAATTTACTGACGACGTTTGAGCGACGCTAGAGGGACATTGAGAGTGCCCACCTCATAAGCAGGAGCAAATGAGTTTATGAACCAGTGTGAGGAATGAGAATTATGATTTACAGTTGATGATTATGGTTAGGAATTAGATTTCGCGTTTTCATCACGAACTCACGTGAGCTATAATGCCAAAACATAATTTAGCCAAAAAATCGATGAGTGAATTTTGCGCCAAAATCCCTCATCTACTATCTTAAACCTCATTACTTCGTCCATGAAATATAGTCTCGCCCTATTATGCATTCATTCATTCATTTAGTAGTTTATCTAATAGCATCAGTTTGACAAATCGATATTCATTCAGTTAACAAGCTCTACAAATACTCTCAACACGTTAGTATTCACAGAGGTTTATACATTTACTTATAATATTTCTATAGAGAAAGAAAATCTTATTCTCATTTAGTAATACCAATAGATCAGCTTACTTCTTGTTTGATTTAATATTCTGTGGAAGTCTTCTACAGTGAACATTGGGTGAGTGACATTCTCTGTCTTACTAACAATTCGTTCAGTACTGATGTGATCAGTTGGTGAATGAGTTGTCTGTGTTCTGAAACGGAGCGAAGTCAAACCATTTGTGTAATCAAACAAATTCAAAGCATCTTTTTATACTTGATAGTAAATAATACTACTGAAATGTGTCATATACCAACCGAAATAAATTAGTTGGCTGAAACCACACATGAATAATACACTATTTCACTTAGTTTGTTTATGAAACGTTCATGAATGTGTTTGTTGTTTAGGGTTGTAAATGATAGATTTTGTTCATCATTTGTATCTAAGTATTGTGATGAATTGTTCCGAACGTCGATAGAGCTAAACGTTTGTGTTTGCAGACATTAACTTTGATGGTTTCACCCATTGAGCGAATATTGTACATACGAATGTGATTTCTAATTCCGACTAGTATACTGAGCATCTTTTGAATATGTCAATCCATATAATTTGCTAACCTCACAATCAGAAACAAATACAAACAGTCAGATTTCAATGAATATAATGTAATTTGAAGATTTTTCCTCAATAACAAGGGAACTGGTAGGTTCCATTTTTCTCTTACAAAATGTTTGAGAAGTTAGTCTTGTGATATATTGTGTTGTGTGCTACTGATGTCGACTAATATACATAGTATGTATCATGAATCGTAAGTGAATTGTTTGCCGGTAGATGATTGAGAAGACCGGAGAAGGAGAACGAGAACAGAGAATGATTGCTGTGGAAGCAAAGTTACACAGATGTTCGAGACGATTGATTAACATTTTGCAAATGAAGTATTTACTGTACGGTTTTCAGTTTTCACCAAGTCGTAATTTGTGTCTTCAAATACAATCGATTTTGCTCACTTGTGTTCTCGTTCACTGCAATATAAGTGCAATTATTTGTAAGTTGAAATAATAACGATGATTTGACACTAAACCTTTAAGAAAATGTTGTTGAAAACTATTTACACTGACCAGTTTGAGTGAACAGAATGTCAAATATCCACACATGTTGTTAAGCATATTTCTATTACCAGTCATCAATGTGTGCACATCCATTACACTTCTAAATCAGTCACAATGGCATAACTTCATTCAAATCCACAAAATCTCCTGTTGTAGTAATACTAAGATTAAACCTTCAATTTCAAGACTTCTTTCTTAACAACTTTCAACTGAATTGATAACGGAAAGTTAGGTAATAGGAAGTAATATCATTTGTGGAGAAGTTTCAGATTTGTAAGTAAAGAGACCCACTGTGTCATTGAAACAGAATAGAGATAATTCAGCGAAAATGTTTTTGTCCGATGAAAGCAATATGACGGGGAACCTGTGAGAAATGCTTGGACCAACAGTATCTGTTATTTCACAATAGTATTACCACATGAAGTACGTAAGAGAGATATCTCCCTTCATCTTATAACAGATTAATCAGAGGCGTGCTTTGACGACTCTGCCAAACAGAGTCGAAGTGAATACCTTCGATCTGGAATGTCAATGCTCAACATACAGACCACTGAGCCACCACTCGATGATGACACAGTCTAACGGTAATTAATCCACGATACTCACTAACCATATCTCTTTATCTTCGACGAACATTTATCTCACACCTGAAATGACTAGACTCTATAACAACGACTTCTCACCAGAATTATAAAAGTTTGTTTCGACAGATTGTCACTAGCGAATAAATCGTGTGTATCGATATCTTGGTGTTGAGAATTTCGGATTGTGATAAGACAACAGGATTGTTGGCAAGAGAAATCCACACACAAAATACAATAATAGAAGATAATCAGACAATAGTGTGGATTGGTGATATTAAGAATTGTATATCAACTGATAGTGATCAGGTGGTACAGAACAAAGCTTTCACATTCCACATCGTACGTTTTCAGCTCGAATCTCTTTTGCATGATCATGGATGAACCCTGCTGAGTAGTTCTGTTCTAAGAGAAAACGACTTTCCACTGATTCCATTTATCCAGTTGTTGTCCGTTAAATCTTCATTTGTGATCTCAATATAATTTAACAATCTTGAAGCTACATACTATTAATCAGTTCATTGACTGAACATAAACATTCGTCAGGACATATTTGTTTTGTTTGATGCAGTTATACTTACCGTTGTTTATCAGATGACTGTGAATGAAAAGTATGGTGGAATATTTGATTGTCAATGAATAAATATAAATAAATATATGGATTCACTGCATAAATTATTCATTGATAATAGAATATCCACATAATTTGATGGAACACGTTATCCACGTTGAAACTGAACTAATCACCTAATCGATAATCTTAACTACTGATTCTTCAACTTTCTCTACCAATACGTATCCACAAGTGCCGTGTTGCGGCAGCGAGTTAGGCGAGTCCACACACACACTCTCTCTCTCCACCTTTTGATATACCCTCACATGGTCACGTGCAAGCAACCATCAACAGGGAAGTTTCACACATTGCCTGCTCGTGGCAATACTGTTCATAACGAAATGGAGAGGAGAAAATGTCAATGACCCGCGCATTAACAGGGTTGGTGGATATGGAGAATTCACCTAGGGGAGTTGAATAACACTGATTCCAAATTATTGGTGCACATTGGCTCCAATATATTGAAGGAACAAAGGCCATGTGAAACAAATGTTCGTAACTGGCTTCCATGTGACAGTATCTATTGACGTTACTCCACTGCCTTGTGGATCAGACAATTAAGTCGAAGGTGACGGGTGTGCTCCACTAAGAAATCCACCTAATTCGGCTTCCGCACTCAATCACTGACCGAGCCATCACATAAATCAGACAAATTATGTGTCGCATATCCATTCCGTGCTTCCTTCTACCAATGTTCATGTGCTCAAATAAATAATAAATATGCATTGTAAAACGATGAAATAAGGATTTGGATTTATTAAGACCAATCGTCAAATTTTGATCAGTTTACAACTACATCTCTTCATCACCAAGTGAAACTGAACACCGTTGTATTCTGTTTGCATCATTAAACGCTTCTATAGATAAGAGGAGAAATACTGTTGTTTAGTTCAGCATAGAAATTATCAGCAAGGTATATTTGCTTATCAGTCAGTATCTATGTTTGTTTTCAGTGAATGTCACGTCTAACATTAATCTTGCAATAGCACATACCTAATCCAGATTATTGATTCGTCAATCAAAATCATAATATTATGGGATTAAATTCTGTCAACAAATACCTACAAACAACATACTATTAACTCTCACAGATAAGCTTTGTAAATTTTAGAATTGATTGATCACTGATGGTTGGTGATCAATGTCGTGCAAATCAGATCCTCCATTGTGTCGATCGAAACATATCGACAAAGTTGTAATTTGTCCACCAGTCTAGCTGACTCAACATTGCGTGCACCATGTTGAGACTGTAAGACAGAGAGACGGACAGAATTGTTGATTATAGGTGACCTGCAGCTTTGGCAGTGGAACTAGATTTCCGACTAAACTATGTTATTCAGTTTTACAACAATCATACGTGTAACAAATTAAAATTTGATAAAAACAATTTAGTTTACCTGAACTATCTTCAACGTGGTTTCTACAAGAATGAAAATAATCAGCATGTTAAATGTTGAAAGTATTATGAGTGAGACTATAATTTACTGATGACGTTAGAGCGACGCTAGAGGGACATTGAGAGTGCCCACCTCATAAGCAGGAGCAAATGAGTTTATGAACCAGTGTGAGGAATGAGAATTATGATTTACAGTTGATGATTATGGTTAGGAATTAGATTTCGCGTTTTCATCACGAACTCACGTGAGCTATAATGCCAAAACATAATTTAGCCAAAAAATCGATGAGTGAATTTTGCGCCAAAATCCCTCATCTACTATCTTAAACCTCATTACTTCGTCCATGAAATATAGTCTCGCCCTATTATGCATTCATTCATTCATTTAGTAGTTTATCTAATAGCATCAGTTTGACAAATCGATATTCATTCAGTTAACAAGCTCTACAAATACTCTCAACACGTTAGTATTCACAGAGGTTTATACATTTACTTATAATATTTCTATAGAGAAAGAAAATCTTATTCTCATTTAGTAATACCAATAGATCAGCTTACTTCTTGTTTGATTTAATATTCTGTGGAAGTCTTCTACAGTGAACATTGGGTGAGTGACATTCTCTGTCTTATTAACAATTCGTTCAGTACTGATGTGATCAGTTGGTGAATGAGTTGTCTGTGTTCTGAAACGGAGCGAAGTCAAACCATTTGTGTAATCAAACAAATTCAAAGCATCTTTTTATACTTGATAGTAAATAATACTACTGAAATGTGTCATATACCAACCGAAATAAATTAGTTGGCTGAAACCACACATGAATAATACACTATTTCACTTAGTTTGTTTATGAAACGTTCATGAATGTGTTTGTTGTTTAGGGTTGTAAATGATAGATTTTGTTCATCATTTGTATCTAAGTATTGTGATGAATTGTTCCGAACGTCGATAGAGCTAAACGTTTGTGTTTGCAGACATTAACTTTGATGGTTTCACCCATTGAGCGAATACTGTACATATGAATGTGATTTCTAATTCCGACTAGTATACTGAGCATCTTTTGAATATGTCAATCCATATAATTTGCTAACCTCACAATCAGAAACAAATACAAACAGTCAGAATTCAATGAATATAATGTAATTTGAAGATTTTTCCTTCATCATTGATTGACTTGATAGACTCTGTCAAGTATTTTGGAGCTAATTTGATTCATATACCTGTGTGAGTAATTCGAAATATTGATTTACTATTGATGTTTATTGTTATAAATAATATTTATGGTTCCAATCACCTACTGACTCAAATCAATGTTATCTGTTTTTTCACAATTTTTTACGTACATGATGTAGCGAACAATGATATCTCTTTGTCTAATTTCAGCTTTTGCTAAGTTTGCTGATGCAATAGTTTGTTAATATGTTGAAGTCATAGATAGTACACTAACTCTGGAAGGAATATACATCTTTTTACGACTATATTAGAGACTTATATGCATTATCAAGCTTATCTGAATAGGATCTACAATGGTCAAATTAGATTGAATTTTGAAATCATAGACATCAATAAGAAGTTTGAAAGTGCCATTAAAAAGGAATGAACATATACTTTGTTTGAAAGCATGTCATTTGGACTATGATTTTCGTTCCCTTTTGCCCTTGTTAAGCTAAATTCATTATTTATTTATTTAAACATATAAATATTTTCACAAGGAAGTACCAAATAGATATGCGATACTTAAATTATTCAATTTGTGTGAGTGCTGAGATACTGCCTGGGTGCCCAAACCGAAGCAGGTCGTTTTCTAAGGAGGCCAAACCCGGGGCATTTGACCTAAATATCTAATCTACAAGGTAGTGGAGCAACGTCAGAAATGAAATCCCACAGTAGTTGGTGACCAACGATTGGTTCATGCACCATTTATTCCTTCAGGATACTGGGGCCCATGTGCACCATTGGTTTGTAATCAATGTTTTTCAACTCCCCTAGGTGGACTCTCCGTGTCTACCAACCCGTTCAAAGCGCCGGATATTGGCTTTTCTTAAACAACACACCCATCGCAAGAAGGCGGTGATTATATGCATTGAAGAGTGAAAAATTATAAATCTTTGCCTTCAAGAAATTTCATTATTTAAATTATTTCAGTCATCGTCTATCCATTTGTGTATAAAGATTTATTAGGTACACATTTGATTGAATTAGACTTACGTTTGTTTATTGTATAACTGTTAATAGAAATTAGAATAAATAAAGGTATGAATGCAGTCGGTAATAAATCATAGAACAAATTAAGAAAAAAAGTTGATTCCGGAACAACTGACCGATTAATTTCACCATTATAGAATGCTCTATTAAGCCGTTCATTTTTCAATACCTATACCTGATTGGCTTTAACAATGAAATAGGTATTTCAAACCATGATCAAGCAGCTTAATAACACTTCTTTATATGAAAACCATCAAAAGCCGAATAAATGAATGTTATCAGTTTAGGGCTTGTGGAGATTGTTAAGTTTTTGATTGAGATCATGAACCGATTGATGTTAGACCACCACGATTGAAAACCTGGAAGCACTGGACGGCCATTTCGTCCTATTGTGTGACTCCTCAGCAGTGCGCATCCACGATCCTGCTCGCGGGACTCGAGCCCAGGGCCTTCGGTCTCGCGCGCGAACACTTAACCAACTGGACCACTGAACCGGCATCCAGTGGTGATAGTTTCCAACATCAACCAATTCACGAAATTGCGCGATCAACTTCCGTTGTACTGAGGTAGATACTGTGACCAGTGGAGCTAATCCTTGTCGGGTAGAGACAGGTATCTATCTCAGTACAATGGAAGTTGATAGCGCAATTTTGTGGATTGGTTGATGTTAGACACTATCACCATTGGGTGTCGGCTCAGTGGTCCAGTTGGTTAAGCGTTCGCGCACGAGACCGGAGGCCCTGGGTTCGAGTCCCGCGGGTGGGATCATGGATGTGCAGTGCTGAGGAATCCCATAATAGGATGAAACGGCCGTCCAGGTACTGCAGATTTTCAATGGTGGTCTAACATCAATCGGTTCATGATTTCAATAAAAAAATGAATGTCAGTTTACCTGTTTAGAATAGAGCTTAATATGGACTTCAGAAAATCATTGTGCTTTTGAATCAGTTCATTAACTTTAATGAGGTGTACACAATATATAGTGAATGTTACTTCTATGGCTGAATATAAGAAAGAATAGTTGCCATAGAAAATATCAAATATGTTGGAAATTTTTTTTTATTATAAAATGTCTTACTTAATGAATAGTTAAGGTCAAGTACGATAGTCGCATTAATGTTCCATAAAGAAATTCAACTATATATGTAATGGAAATCATACGATTCACGGTATCAATTCATGATAATTTTGATCTTAATAAGACATATTTCAAAAAAGAAGTCTATATCATGCTTCATTAAACAATGTAATCTAAAATGAACTACTGATATTGTACAGATTGAAGTTATATGTTATGTTGTATTGTTGTTTCTGTATTTTAAATTAGTAGATGAGGTTTGAATTATTGAAACGAAGCTTCATGTATATCAAGACACATCAACTATCTACAAGTATCAGTTTAGGGCGAACGCTTGACTTACTGGACCACTGAGTCGGCATCCAATGGTGTTAATGTCTAACTGTGCGAGACTGAAGGCCCTGGGTTCGAATCCTGAGGGCAGGATCGTGGATGCGCACTGCTGAGGAGTCACACAATAGGACGAAATGGCCGTCCAGTGCTTCCAGGTTTTCAATGGTGGTCTAACATCAATCGGTTCATGATCTCAATCAAAATATATCTACAAGTAGTTTAGAACTGAATATTTTTTCTTTTGCCAGACACTTTGAAAACAAAAAAAACATTGAATAGTATCTAGAAAACAAATGATCCATATGCTTTTGGTTCGATATAGAAAATGAGATCAGGGTTTACATACACAACATTTTATGTGTTCGTATTACAAACCGTACTCACTACCAACTAACTTTAAAGACAAATTTAGAAAAATAAGATAACTTATCAAACTATTGGTGTGTCGATTTCATACACTACCATAAAGTCATGTCCTCATTCTAATTCTAGTTACCGATAACACTAAAAAAGGTCATACAATCTTTCTCTGTGATAAATATCTGTAAGACAACAACAATCACTGTCTGGTTTTCAAATACTATCTTAATTTAATGAGTTGTTTAATCACAAATAATAGTCTCATATAACTAATAAGAACGTCAAGAAAGTTTTACTGTACGGAAATCAAAGTTAGAGAACTACTACAACCATCATCAAGTATTTATAAATAGTTATCTACTCAAGATACTCAACATCCATTAGCCGGATACAATCAGCAACAACCTCCTGTGGGAGAGAACAAACCAGTTTTCAGGTGAAGAGGAAATTAGGAAAAGACGTTGGATGTAGATAGGACACATATTATGGAAATCACCAATCAGCATGATGAGACAAGCCCTAACTTGGAATCCTAAAGAGAAACGGTAAAGTGAAAGGCCAAAGAATACGCTGCGTCGAGAATTGGAAGCAGATATGAAAAGGATGAATAACAACTGCAAAGAACTGGAAAGGACTATCCAGGACAGGGTTTTATGGAGAGTGCTGGTGGGCGGTTTATGATTCTCCATGAGATGTAACAGGCGTAAATAGTTACAGTAAGTAATTATCAATCAATGATTCGACTTAGTCGTATTGTCAATAATAATATAATTATGAATAGTTGTTATAAGTATGGCATATTTTAATGAAACGATAATGATTTAAATTACCTGATATATCATCCATAGGGTTCCAAGCAGAATGAAAAGCAAACGGTTCACTACATCGAAAAACATTTTTAATGTTCAGATGGGTCTTTTTTCTTCTTTCAAACATGCATATTACTGTAATAGTATTATGTAAATTTATACTATACATTGATCATTTATAAATAGAGGGAATTTGATGTCTAAGATGAACTAAATGTTGTATTGATCATTAACATAATAAGAATAATGGTAATTGTACTTACACGTTAGTGTTTACTGATCTGTTACTTCTTCATTAAGTAAACATAAAGAATCCAAAAAAACTAATTCTGTATTGTTTATTTACTTGAGTGGGATCATTTTTGATGTAATTTTATAAAGTAAGTTATAAGTTGATAAACAAAGTATAGACTATTGTTTACCTATTTAGAGTTAAGTATTAAAATAATTCGTCGGAAATGAGTACAAACTCAAATGTAAACAAAAAAAGTATATTCTACTTAAATGCAAAGATGGATAGTGACTAGCAGTGGAATTCAGGATACGCATTTCGTCGTATTTGAGACTCGTCAGTTTGATGTACCTGCACCTCAGAGTTGATGTCCACCCTAAGACTCGAACCCAGTACCGTTCGCTTCAAATGCCATCGTATTTTCCACTTAGCTACTGAGTCTTGATAGCTACTTAATTCAAAGAAACAAATATAAATGAAGTACAATTGAATAATCAATAGTTTTCTTCTAAATACTATTACTTATTCAAGATCGGTTTCTGAAGAAGGACTAGTTGATTCGTTAATTTGAATGTTCCGGTTCAAGAAATCAGTCAACTGGTGTCATTCACAAAATAATCGCACCGGATCACGTACACGTTCTACAATCAACTACATTTTCGTGTAAGTTTCTCTTCATTTTGTTCATATGTTTCCATATTATCCATGAAACAAAACAAGATTCAATCGCCTTATCAATTACAATGCATAGGATTGTCTTTTCAACTAGAAAAAATCTACATTCAGTGTTCAGTAGTTTTGTTGAGAGAACAATACTTGATAAATAACAAATGAATAATTTATTTACATTTAGTTACAGAATGTCAGACATAGTGAAGTACAATACAGTAGTCAGTAAATGAATGAACAAATCACATTGAATGTACAATTGTTTAAGGATTTAAGATGAAGACGAAGAATGTAAAAAGTAAAATTGTTTGAAAGAGTTACCGATGTACATATATGATATACTTACATTAGTGCAAACTACTGCTACAGTGTCAACTTTTCCATTTCCTTACTATTAACATTCTTATTTAATCATGCTTAATACTCTAAGGATTAGTGATTCTAGGAACATCAGATATGTCAAGCGGTTTTCGAAACATTTTAGTGAAGAAAAATGCTTCGAAGATAGAAGTTTATACATTCTGGTTGGTGATGTTATGAGTAATTTTGCTAGTGAAGGTATTCTAAAATTACTGACGTTCTGAGAATGCTGACTCGGACTTCAAGTACACACACTTACACAAAACTTATTTCACTTCTAAACCTCACATAACACGTTTCTGTAACGTCTGTCAACCGTTGCTTACTCACTGACATTTCTATGGACAATGGACACACTGTGTATTTATCAGTAAACATTAGCTCAGATCTACCGATCAACTTGACATGGAAATATTTGCTTCTTTCTTTATGCCAACTACATATTCCCAAATGATATGTATCATTTCAGTTCATCGAATAAATCAACACAACTACTGTCAATCATATAAACCATGTTACATTGGTCCTAATTATTGATATTCAAAACATCCAATAACAACAACAACAACATTAATGTTAATAATAATGCAGATGAAGGCAACTAGTGTTGCAGCAGCCTCAGAATCAGTAGACCTTAACATACACAAAGGAAAAAGCATGACCCCCAAACGCAACACGGAGAACACCAATCTAATCACACTTGATGGCTAAACTCTGGAAGATGTGGAACTTTTCAACGTGCCTGGAAAGCATCATCACTTAGCATTTTATTGAAACGCTCAATACACTCAAACTGCAAACGTTTCTTATCATCTACTAATAACAATGTATCCTTACCAAACAGATATATATATAAACATACTTCCAGTCGAATTGATTATCACCGAACTAACAGCACTCAAGAACACTGTGGTTAGGGTGTACATATACTTGGATAATGACCACAATTACATTTAAATAATCAGTAGCTTCATACCGTTCTTAGAGAATTCTGGTAGTGTATTGATCCTATTCATATTTAGAGTTCGTTTGTGTTAAAGGTTCCCTTTAATCACACGAGACCTGGAAGTAAGGCCATGAATTATTTAAAAACTATATGGTTGATTTATTTTGATAGCATGATATGAAAAAGTCTTTATCGAAGATGTTTTGATAAAGTAAGTCTCATAATTATGAAAACTTTCATACTTAAATGCTATTCAAGTGTAAAGTTCAACACTTTCGACTATTTACAGCATATCGTTTTTCATACAAAAGTTGACAAGAGTGATCAGACTATGAGTTATGTATTTAATGTAGAAACAGTTAAAACGTACGACATCAATCGTAGATACATGGTGTCGTATTGGATGGCTACTGGCTTCTAGTTGGACCTCATGAATTAAGGAAAGAGGTAGTTAGAAAAGTCATGTTCAACAGCAGTGTCGAATCAATGAAGATAAGAAGCCGTATCAGTCCGAAATCGTGCCAGTTGCTGAAAAAGATTCTGATTCAAAGGTTAGACGTTTGAGATGCAACCCATTCATTCATCTTGTCTTCCCTGCAAGGACCACTGTGAGTGACCTGCTGTGTAGAAAGTGTTACCGTTATGATATGTCGTCATGGGTTTTGTAAGTGAATATCACATTTAATAACACTTTTCATCATATATGTCAAAAAGTATTCAATAAGAACGTTATTACTATGTAAATAACAATGTTGTACTAAGTGTACATCACATACAGCATAGAAAAGATCAAGTTTAACTGCGTATAATTGAGCGTGAATTGTTGCATTAATAACGTTTAGGTAATTTTTTTCATTTTATTCGTGATCAGTAAGTTACCTAGTGTTAGGTCTATCGAAGCGTGCAAGTCACCCGATTGAGATACGCGCAAAACCGAAGTTTCCAAAACAACGATTTGCCTGCAATAGTGGTTCGTTATTGAATAATACACAAAATTTAGTTACAAACCTCAACTTGTGAGGCGTCTGGGGCGCTTAAACGCGTCCTTCAAGTATACAAATAAAAAGGCTTCCTGTAACAATAACATAAAGAATAATTGTAACATACGATAGTACAAAAGACACTTGATAGCTGTGTCTAAATTTAATAGCAGTTTACGAACAACCAAAACCCGAACCAAGAGCAAAACAATATGGAAACTGTTGCGTTTAAACAAATGCACAAAACTGTGGATAACAACTACAGTGATTAAGGTATAGTAATTAAAATGACAAATACAATGGTAGGTACAATAAACATTATAAGTATATGTGAACATTTCAGAATGTTACAGTACAACTTGACTTAAAACATAAGTGTGAAAATTGTGTGAAAATTGTTGGGCATACAACTGCTTACTGAATATAAATACGTAGTATAAAACAATATAAAAAAGAGAGGAAAGGGAACGAGTAGGAACAACGTAAGACAAACTTAACACCGCCCCTCAAAGATAGTATGTCTTTCCTTACTTTCGCTGATTATATATTAACGTAAAAACGTTCAGAAGTGACAGTGGTACGATTTACTCTAGCCAAAGTCAATCTGAAAGGTCCCTTTATCCTCTACTGTTCTGTCGTTCGCTCCTTTTAATAAACAAATTTTACGTATGTCTCTAATGATTGTACCTTTCGACGTTCTGATCTTCGCTTGTCTCACTAGATCATCTTCTCCTGGGTCAATACTTACCACTAGGCCATTAGGCTAGTTATTTCGTGCATAATTGTCTCCAATAATCAAGACTAGATCACCAACTTGTAAATCTCGTCTTCTTTGTGTCCATTTTGTTCGCGTCTGTAAGAGTGGTAAATACTCCTTTATCCACCGACGCCAAAATGTAGTCGCCAACAGTTGAGCTTGTACCCATTGTCGGGAATAACGCTCGCATAGGTTTATTTCAATCTGATGAATGTGAGGTTTTCTTAACAAAAGTAAATTATTGGGTGACAATGTCTTGAGTTGTTCTGGGTTGCCGTAAACTGGAACTAAAGGTCTATCATTAAGTATTCTTTCTACTTCAGTCAAATAAGTGGTCAGTGTCTGGTAGGACATAGTTTTCTCGCTAGATACGGCGCTCAAAATTCTACGTGTTTCTTGTTAATCTTTCCCATATTCCACCACGATGACTTGCGTAGGGAGTATTGTGATGCCATTCTATGTTCCGACGAATAATTTCTTTAGCTACTCTATTATCCTTAAAGTCTGGTAATAGATGTTGTATCTCCTTCTCTAACCCAACTAAAGGGAACACAGATGTAGCTGTCTTAAACTTCTTATCGTCATCAGCAGACTGAATAAAACAATCATCTTTCTGACTCTCTGTTTTATACTTGATGTCGATAGAACTCTCAGCAGATGCCACTACAGAAGATTTAAGTTTCGTATTTGCAAGGAACTGAGTTGTTGTTGCTTTGACACCAATTGATGACTCGTGTGGTAGTGCCACAGAGTTAGTATTATGGTTCACGTCAGAAACCTCAGCGCAGAAATTAGGAAAATCTGGTTTGGCAGAACACATGTCAGATGTTTTCGAAAACACTAACTCGCCACTATCTGTTGAAGGAATTCTCATACTCATACTTTATTGCCAACAGATGAAATGATTCAAAACACTAAGTATGACTAGGACAAAGATGTTGGCCACATGGTTGGAGACAGAAAACTAATCTTTCTTATTGTTTTAAAAATATTTTTTCTGTTGGTATTTTCGTCTTTTGATTATTAAGAGTTCAACAATAACTTCGATTACTAAAACCATTATTCTTAAAAGTTAGTTTTTCTGTAAATGTCCTCAGAGGTTCTGTATGTCCAAAGGAACAATATTTTTGCTGTTGGGGAGTGCTTATTTTCCCTACTTTAGGGATTATATATGCTCCGCCTGGAGTCCCTCCGGGGGCTACTGCCGGTCCCAAGCCCGGATA